GATGAACTGGCAATAAAGGGAGCTGAAAGAAAAACTGACCTTGAACTTTGTGTTTGAAACACTTACAGAGAGTCACTGACTTGCAGTTGCGATGGGTTCACAGCGAAGCACATATTGGCAATGCCTTAACTAAGGGTCAAGCTAAGGAACTTCAGCTGTACTATAACCTCCATTTTCAATGGCATCTGGTTAGCGATGATCAGATGTGGTCAGCTCGCAAGAGGCGACAAGAAGGTCTCGATGTTCTCCAACAAGTCAACGGTGCACACAAACACACACAAGTTCACACAAGTGCACACCAATACTCATGCCACAATGGGATGGCTGGTGGCCCTGTTTTGTTTTGAAAGTTCCAAGTCCGGAGTGGCGGGGATGCAAGTGATTGAACACTTGTCTTATACAGTCCAAACCATGGCTGTATTTCGAAGTCATTTGATGCCCGAGGAAAACAGGTTACTGTTGGAACAGAACACCGCCTTGCCGTGTTAGGGGATAGCGTGTAGCCATAGCCTTGAATCATTGTGACTTGGGAACTGACGTTCGCCACCGACTTTCGTGTTGGCCATCCCAGTTGGATATATATATATATATATATATATATGTGCAAGCTGGTAGCCTGCTGTTCCATACTAAGATGTGATAGATGTATAATCATATGTAATAGATGTAAATAGTGTCTAGTTCTATTTAATTGATGAAGGCAAAGCTGTACGTAATGGATCTGCAATTATATGCAATTATATGAAATTAAATGCAATTATATTATATACGTGTATAAATCATACACGTATTATTGTTCATGAATGTCGGGCTAGATACATCAAGATACACCTATCTATTGAATTTCTCTTACAATAAACAAATAGTGACAAGTCACTTGGATTATCTGCGCTTCAGATCAACTGAATGAGATAGATCTGTAAATGGGGATTCCCAGCATGGATTCTGGCAATCCCCAAGATGTAATGTAGGGGGAATCCTCATCCCCAAACTAACCTCAAAACAAACTGCTGCTGTGGAAATTGCACTTGAATGGGAACAGTGGGGATAGTCCCCGAAGTTAATAAGTGGGACAGCACTACAATGAATAGTACTGAATGACTATAAGTTGTTTTTCAGAGAGATAGAATACTGAGCCACCGTGGATAGCTGCATGAAAATCGCAGCCATCCGAAAAATTTGTTGCTGCTTTGACCGTGTTTCACCCACCAAGTTCCGACAAAAAATTACTAATGGGATAAGCAAACCTATGAAACCCTCTGGTAATTTCTTACAGTTTGGCATTCTAGGTGATTATTTACCTATATTTACCTATTAAAATATGAATGTGTTCCATAGCGATGTTAGATTACCGAAGGGTAAGTGGGATGCTCATCCAACTACCATCCATCTGGATGCGACGAAATCCAGGGAGTGGTCACGCGACGTTGTGGACGCTACGTCAGGTTTGGGTCTTGTGGACGCCTATTGGGGGTGTGTCAAAATGGTGCCCCAAAATGGCAATCTTGATGAGGAGAATGATGAAATCTACCAGGGAATTTGGGGATTCCGAGTTTAGAGACAATGCAATCAAACCTTGAACATCTCCAAGAATCTCAAAAACCCAGCGTTAACAACTCGGGCACATGCGATACTGTGAATGCGATACAACGTGCATGTGACACAAACGCGTTCTCCAAGCCTGTCCTCCTCCTCGTCATCATCGCAGGCACTCATGCGATGGTGGGGCTGCAAAACGATTCTTGTGGATCATGTCCAGTTTATTGGTCTGGTTCCATTGCAGCATGAAACAGACAGGCGAAAAAGTCTGCTGGTGAAAATCGCAAAGATGTATCGACCAAATCTCGGGTTCGGGAAAAGGTGTTCTTGAATGCATGATGGAAAAGTAATTTCCAAAATTGAAGATCTGGCATCTGTGGGTTGCGGGCAGATCTGGCAGTGTTTAAGAGGTTATCTTCAAGTCTACTGCAATCAAATGGTGAATACCGGAAGCTAAACAACATGAATAACAAATGGCACAGTAGCTTGTACATTTATGCGCGATCAAAACAGAATCATACTTGTTACGCTAGAAGTTCAACATCCAAACTTCCAACGGTTGACTGCTTCCTCTGACTTGGTGCTATCGCAAGGCTGGAGCAAAAGAAGAAGTTCACCTGATCAAGTGACCACATATCACATGGACAGGGGATAGAGCTACCATGAGCTACCATAGCATCTTTAACCACTGCATTTGTTGGTTTCTCATCCCATTTCCCGCATTCTTCCGCATTGTATGGTTACAAATATGTGTAAATCCCCCTAAAAAAAAAAACTGGCTCTGGAGGGTGTCATAGATATTAATGGGGTTTCCAGGTTCTCCACAGAAACTGGATCGATTACTGCAAATTTGTGGGTTGAAAACTACGTGCATTTAATCATATAGATAAAATATGATGATATATACTGTGTACACATATATATACATATACAATTATATACATATATATATATACAGATACATGTACAATTCATGTACATTTTTGCATTATATAATGTATATAATACTGAAAGTAACCACCCGATTGCAGTGGGGTTCCCTCTGTCTTCGCCCCTCCGTCGCCCCGCCTCTGGTGAGATCTGCCTGGAGTTTCACCACTAAAACTGTGGATTAACCATCTATCATTGGATTGGTTGAAGGGAAAATCGAAACTGGAAATCATGGTAAACATACGGTAAACTTATGCACCAGGAAGTTTACCAAAGGCTATCCAGTTCTACTTCATCCTTCATGCAATTCTGGGAATATAGAAATGGGTACGGATGGTCCCCGAATTGAAATGGTTTAATGATGTGAAATGTCCAATTTTCGCGACCAATTTTCTGGGTCAGTTGGTACCTTCGGAGCCATCGGGTGAACATCCATGATAAGCAAGCGTTTTGGCGTAAAAACCGGTACTAGGATTTTGAGCCATACCCAAATAAATTGATATAAATTGCATGTGAAGGGCATTTCCCAATTCCAGGTTTGTCTACCAGAGAAGATTTCAGGAATTGAAGAAGACAACTACAAAAGAGCAGCAGCAGCTATTTGAGACCTCTGAGACGGCAGAGTTTGTTAATCCATTCCTCCTAATATGAAAATATAATAGACAGCCCCTATAAACCATGGCTTACAGGGGAATCACACATAGTTGGGACCAATGGGCACTGAGCCTACAGTATGAGGATGTCACATCTGGTCTCGTTTTCGGGCTGAAGGGCTGCTTCAGAAAATGCAAGGATCCCACCATGGAAACGAGGAAAAAAACATGGAAAAAACAAATAAAACTGAACACAGAACTTAACTAAGTAGCCCAACAAAAAACCCTTCTTGGAGATGTTTGACAGCCAGGCTCATTCCGGGGAACAAGGGAAAAGATTAAGCTAGAAAAAACAAGATGAAGCCCACGAACCCGAATGCTCACACGTATGTTAATGGTACAGATGTCAAAACACATGGTTATGAAGTGACGCACAATACCTTTCTGCAATCGTCTATTTGAACAGTCTTGTGCATGTTTCCCTTGATACCAGTCTGCAGTGTGGAGTGGAAAGTGTAGAGTGTGGAGTGTAGAGTGTGGAGTGTGGAGTGTGGAGTGTAGAGTGTAGAGTGAGGAGTGTAAAGTGCAAAGTGTGGAGTGTGGAGTTTGTAAATTGTAGAGTGTGAAGTGTAGAGTGTAAAGTGTAGAGTGTAAAGTGTAGAGTGTGGAGTGTAGAGTGTAGCGTGTGGAGTGGAAAGTGTAGAGTGTGGTGTGTAGAGTGTGGAGTGTGGAGTGTAAAGTGTGGAGTGTAGAGTGTGGAGTGTGGAGTGTAAAGTGTAGAGTGTGGAGTGTAAAGTGTGGAGTGTAAAGTGTGGAGTGAGGAGTGTAAAGTAGAAAGCGTGGAGTGTAAAGTGTAAAGTGTGGAGTGTAGAGTGTATAGTGTAGAGTGTAAAGTGTAGAGTGTGGAGTGTGGAGTCTAAAGTGTGGAGTGTAAAGTGTAGAGTGTGGAGTGTATAGTGTGGAGTGTAAAGTGTGCAGTGAGGAGTGTAAAGTGTGGAGTGTTGAGTGGAAAGTGTGAAATGTGGAGTGTAAAGTGTGGAGTGAGGAGTGTAAAGTGGAAAGCGTGGAGTGTAAAGTGTAAAGTGTGGAGTGTAGAGTGTATAGTGTAGAGTGTAAAGTGTAGAGTGTGGAGTCTAAAGTGTGGAGTGTAAAGTGTAGAGTGTGGAGTGTATAGTGTGGAGTGTAAAGTGTGGAGTGAGGAGTGTAAAGTGTGGAGTGTGGAGTGTTGAGTGGAAAGTGTGAAGTGTGGAGTGTAAAGTGTGGAGTGAGGAGTGTAGTGTGGAGTGAGGAGTGTAAAGTCTAAAGTGTGGAGTGTGGAGTGTACAGTAAAGTGAGGAGTGTGGAGTGTAAAGTGTAGAGTGTAGAGTGTGGAGTGTAAAGTGTAGAGTGAGGAGTGAGGAGTGGAAAGTGTAGAGTGTAGTGTAAAGTGTGGAGTGTGGAGTGTAAAGTCTCAGGTGAGGAGTGGGGAGTGTAAAGTGCAAAGTGTAAAGTGTGGAGTGTAAAGTGTAGAGTGTGGAATCTAAAGTGTAAATTGTGGAGTGTGGAGTGTAAAGTGTAGAATGTGGAGTGCGGAGCTTCCCCCATAGACACGGCGACGCCACAGGAAAACGAGAGACTCGAGACGAGACACGTGGGTGCAAAAAAACGAGCATTTTGTGCGAGACTTCCTTCAATTTTGATATTTTCAACACATTATCAAACAGGTTGGAATGTCACAAAGTGCCACGCCTGCCACGCAAAACGACATGACAACCTGCTTGGACACATTCGAATAGGAGATGTTTTCCAGCTTCCCCCATAGACACAGCGACGCCACAGGAAAACCAAAGACTCGAGACAAGACACGTGGATGCAGAAAAACCAGCATTTCGTACGAGACTTCCTCCAATTTTGACATTTTCGACGCATTATCAAACAGGTTGGAATGTCACAAAGTGCCACGCCTGCCACGCAAAACGACATGACAACCTGCTTGGACACATTCGAATAGGAGAGGTTTTCCAGCTTCCCCCATAGACACGGCGACGCCACAGGAAAACCAGCGACTCGAGACAAGACACGTGGATGCAGAAAAACCAGCATTTCGTACGAGACTTCCTCCAATTTTCACAGTTGGCAACATGACAAAAGGACAAGTTTTGCAGCTTCCCCCATAGACACGGCGAAGCCACGGGAAAACCAGAGACTCGAGACGAGACAGGTGGGAGCACCAAAACGACCATTTCGTGCGAGACTTCCTCCAATTTTGACACTTTGCAGCTCCAAAATCGACGTTTTCCTACGAGTTTTCCTTAGAACCTGAAAATTTGTAACCTCAAAAATCGATGTTTCGTGCGAGCCTTCCGTCAATTTTCAGCACATGTCAGAAAATGCCACGCCTGCCACGAAATTTGCACCTTGTCGCCACTTGACGCAGCCCTGCCAATGCGATTTACAAAAAACACGCAAAAGGACACGTCTAAAGTGCTGCGCCTGCCACGAAAAATGACGATCAACACGTCCAAAGTGCTGCGCCTGCCACGAAAACTGCAAAACATCTTCTAAAAACGTCACAAAAGTATTGCGCCTGCCACGCAAAACGATTTTCAACACGTTGCAACACACATAAAACACGTCTGAATGTCACAAAGTGCCACGCCTGCCACGCGAAACGAAGCAACGACACGTCTGAAACCTCCAAAAATGACCACCTCTGCAAAACTTCCCATAGGCACGGCCATACGGAGTTCGTACGAACGGTTGCGAACGGTTGCGGACGGTTGCGGACGGTTGCGAACGGTTGCGAACGGTTGCGGACGCGGACGCCACGTCGAGCGAACACACTCTCAACCCCCAGACCCCCAGAGTGAAACGGGAACCCTTGCTACGCATTTGGGAACTAGAGATTGCGAGAAAGGGCCAGAAACAGCAAATTATTATTTTGGCCTTGAGAAGGAAATAGCTCGCCTTTCTTAGGGCGACTTTTTACCTTCCACCTCTCACCCCCTCTTGAAGCAACCCTGTTGGAAGCAGCCGAGTTGGGTCTCTGTTCCAGTGTTTTCCAAGGTCTTTTCAGAGGTGGTCGTCGAAGCATTCATCCCAGAACGATGATGTGTTTTTATTGGATTTTGCTTTAGGAAGAGCTTAGAACTCTCTATGTATCTATATATATATATAATTATATATACATACAGTATGTGTGTGTGTCTTAATTAGATATGCAAACAAATGAGATTCCAAAATTTACGTGAACTCATACTAGTTCATCCCCATAAGACTATATATGGCATGGAACATAGAAAGATATAGAACGCATTTGAAGATTTTGAAGCCAGCCCCCAGTTGATCAAGTCATGATTTTATCCGTCGCAGCAGTGGCGAACACAGGGTCTGTCACAAGGATCCATCATCGATGATCATCTTGTGACACAACACTCCCAGGAGAGCCTCAAATGGGTCCCTCCCCCAGGAGACACGTCGGTGCTCAAAGTCGTGTTCTTTGAACACTGGGACAACATTAAAAGTGGTGCATTCACCAGACTTTGATCATGGCCAAACCAGCTATATATATATATAAATTATATATATATATAGGTTGTTACCTTTTTTCAATGCCATGTGCATATTTATACCAGATAGTGGGAATGGATGGGACAGGATAGAACATCTTGTCTTCATGGCCTCCTCAAAGTCTGGGAGAACCACAGCTTTCCGTGGAAGCACGGGAACAACATGTTGGATCAACGGGGCTAAGTAGTTCAAGATCAGACTAGTTCTTAAAGAAACCCCCAGGCCCACAGATTGATGATTACCATCGTCTGATTCTTGGTATTGACATGGACAAGCCCGGGATCAAGTATTTATATCTCACTCTTTTGGATTGTTTTGGAAGGTACCAGATTATGGCGCCTTCACTACTTCATCTCGAACTCCAGATTCGGCCAGGTTTATCCAATTCTGTGCAATCTGTCCTGCTCCAACAAATTGTCACCTTCTCTTGGCAGACAAGCTTACCGGGGTAGCAACCCCCTTAGCAAAATATTCGTCAAATATTCGTCAAATGGGATTGTGATCCGAAATCTAAAGGTTTCTGTTTTGATTTTTCCTTTTATTTAAACAAGTAATTAATCACAATATATCGTAATAATTAAACAATAACAGTTAGATGTGATAACAATATATAACAATGGTGTCAAGATCATCCTGGGAGTCTTCATGATCACAAGCACTTTGATTCACTTCGTTTGCCCTTTACCGAGGGTGCAATAAATTGGAAGCTGCACTTTACGGGTGGGCATCTTGCCCTGCTTGCAGGCGGTCCAGTAGCGCCTTTTGGCTACTCACCTGACCCTTGGACATCTTCACCTTGGGATGAACCAGGATTTGGATGAAAGACTTCCCACTGATCCATGTTGGTCTCATGACATTAAGCCACTAGCTAATGCCGGCCATAGGCATGCTTTATAGGGGAACTTCCAAAAAAACAACGCCGAGGCGCCAAGGAATTCTGAAGGAACTTGGTCATCCCTCTCAAGCAGCCCGTCACCTGCGGAAGGGATGTTGATCGAGTTTATCTCCCAAGTCCTGCGTTACAGGTACTGACGGATCGTGCCTGGGACACTGCATGCGTGATGTGCTCATAACACGGCCACTCCTCACGCGAATAGAGTCGTACCTCACAGGATGGGAGTAAAGATGATCTCCTCTGTGTTTCAAACAGTCAAACAATGATAGTTTAACCATTTACACTGAGATTTAACAGTGAAAAAAACATGTTTAAAAAAAAACAAAACAGATTTAACCATGTTATTGTAGTATATTCATTTTACCAATGGATATTGGATGTTGGATATGCTTAAAAATTGGGCATACCCGCCGAAGGTTTATCATTTTAATGGGGAAAATGATCGTTGTGGGGTACCCGATTTCTGACAAACTCAAATAATATGGTAAAGCCACTAGAAACCATCCCGAATAGTGGAACCTCTTGAAAATTAACATGGATATGGACATCTATAATTCAGTGTCTCTGAGAAAATTAACTAAGGTTTGAGCCATGAACAATACTCCTATGCCCCATCCCATGACATACAGTTGGTTGATAGGCAAAGCATCCCGGTAATTATGGCTTATAATCCCAGTAGTATGGCACCTTAGAATAACCCAGCAAAAGGGGCCCCCGAAATACGATGGGCAACGTTGGTGGGAACAAATGGATTTAATGTACAGTAATTTACATATATCATATATATATAATATGATATTAAATAAATACATATATATATATATGTGTATAATTATGTGTATATATATATATATGTATAAATCCAACTACTGAGATTCAAAACTTGAAGCTGGGGAGGCCGCTTCTCCTCTAGTGGTATTTTGCAGGGTATATCCAAAATCGATACGCCTCCTAAAGTTTGTTGGAAAATGACAGCAGCAGTCACCAATCATTTTTGGCAAGCTGCCTTTTTGGGCCAATGGCTGAGCTTCTTCGCAGTTGGAATGTCTCCATCGGGCAAATTGGTGGTCTTCAAGAACTCCAAGTTGTTGGCCACCTGCGGTTTTTTCCATCACCGGGTGATACCAGCTTCGTGAATGACACATAGTTTTGAAGCATTCGCAAGTTTACTGGAAAAATCTGGTGGTCAAAGCTGGAAAATGCACCACAAATTCCATATCTGTCGGTCTTGACCCATGATTTGACATGAAGTTCCCACTGGAGATGGGAACTTTCCGCGACATTTGGTGCCGTAAGAATTCCTGATCCAGGATCATCCGGCTACCTTGGCTTATTTGGGGATGGTGGGTGAAATCCATGAGTGTCGAAGGTATTCCAATATACATAAATACATAGCATAAACATGGCATAAATATAGCATAAATATAGCAAAAACATAGCATAAAACAACAAAGCATAAACATAGCATAAACATAGCATATACATAGCATATACAAAATACACACATACCTACCTACCTACCTACCTACCTACCTGCCTGCCTACCTACCTACCTACCTACCTACCTATCTACATACCTACATACATACAAACATACATACATACCTACCTACCTACCTACCTATCTACATACCTACATACATACATACATACATATTTATTTATATATATGCCATGTGTGGTTTTTGCCCCAAGAAAGCGGTGCCAGGAACACATGGGATGCGCTGGCCTTAAGGGCTGCCAGCCACATTCTATCAAGGGCGGTGACGCTGTTCAGCGGTGGCGCTTTTGAAGCCACAAAAAGAAGGTGGCCCGCCGATAGGCTGCCGCGCTAGTGGCGGCACTGGATGGGTAGGACTTTAGCTTTGCCCCCCACCACAGCGCCCGCTTTGCCACATTGCGACCTTTTTGGCCGCTGGATCTGCTTGGAAAAGTCTTTAGTTTTGCCCCTCAGTGCAAATCCTTTTGCCTGACCTTCTTGGGCCAGGTGGACTCAACCTGCCCAGTTGAGAGCATGCAGCTGATAACCTGAGATTGGGTACTGATATGGTTGCACTCCGCGACTCTGATGTCCTTGATGATAAAATTCCCGTAAGGATCCGCAGTCACCCAGTGCCAAAGCGCGGCGCCCTTTTCCTTTGCTATGCGGTCGTTTGTTGCTTGAGCCAAAGCAGGGGGATGTGATACTGATGTTCTCCCGTGCCGGCCCACATGCATGACCTATATGGGGTGCCTGGCCTGCATTGTATTCACCTATGCATATGTGTTATATATATATATGTAATAATTATATATATATGTACTATATATATATATGTAACATGTATTATAATGTATTATATGTATTATGTATATATATATATTATATATACATATGTCAATGTATTGTATGGATGGATATAAATGAAGAGATGAGCATCATTGAGCATCTCGCAACATCTCCCAACTATTTATGGGAGCCGTAGGAGATTCTGATCCGATTTCCTTGTCGCCTTGATGATCTTTTTGGAGGGATCACTGGGAGGCTTCGCATCCTCAATCTCCTACAGGCAGGACATGGAAAAAATCAGGGATGGGTCATCCAAGTACGTCATGTTGACAAAATCAAAAACTAGGCAAAATATGGCATGTGGCAAACGGGGTTGATGGTGGATATATCCAACTAGTTTGTCAGGGTTCTGAAGCCAACTTTTAAGTGATCCCCTTTCTGTAGGACCCCTAAATAGATGGAAAACAGCAGCTCTTTCAGGGTACTAGAAAGCTGTTTGCCGCATGAATGCCAAATGTCCGACTTTTCTATCTTTTTCGGGATTGCTGTTGCTATTTAGCCTGATTCGTGGAACATAATGTAACCTTTTTTGCCAGCCCAGAATGCATCCTATGGACCCTTGATAAACAGACTAGTAAGAGGCAACTGGTGACTTGACAGGAGAGTAACTTTGAGGCAATTAATCTCAATCATTCGTGCAAGACTGACACTGTAGAAAAGTCGCGCCGCAGAGCGTCTGATTCTTGAAAAACAATGACAATGATGTGCAATGCCATCAGATCACTGGAATAGTGAACAATCATCGGCATAGCCACAACTAAGGAGAGAAAACAAGAAATAAAGTAACGAAAAAAAACATCAAACCACATGAAATCATCGACCAACATGCAAAGAACCCCAACTGCTTCAAGTCACACTCTGGCTAGCCTTGATGGTTCATGCTCAGCCTATTTTCAACCACTAAACAACCCTGGAGATCGAATTTCCCGCACGGCTGTTGCTCCTTGCACCAGGCTTGATAGACTTGTCTCCTCTGCAGGAGATCTGAATGAGCCTCAAGCAGTTATCTGGGGAATCAAGGTTCACTTGTTTCAGCCACACATGCTTACAAAATCAATCAACTCATTCCCAAAGGATCCGTCTATGATGACATCCCTAGGCCAAGCTGCGCTTGCACCATCGGGGGTTGTGGATCTCCATGTATGAAGAAACCATAAGAAACCCATCGAACTCATATTGCGTTCAATCACAGGTGGTTTTAAAGTTCCCATGTTTGCTGGCACAGGCACAACTCCTTCTGCTGCTAATCCGTTCTGGTAAGGTACATCGTTGAAACAGCGGTATATTCCAGCATTGATAGATGCTTCTTCATTGTGGTATTATATACATCAGTCATGAAGGTGACATATGTTTACATAGATATATTATCCAGTTCCAAGGGAACTAAGGTAACAACATCAAATAATTAAGACAACTATGTAACCAACACGTGTACAAGCTGGCCATGTCTGAGAATCAGAGATGCATCATTCGACAAACGGAGTGGCTTTTTGGCTTCACATCCATGGTTTTCCCGTGAAAAATCATGCATTTGCTTCGGGAATGTCCCATCCAACCAAGTTTTCGCATGTTTTGTGGTTGGGTAAGTTATATCCCGTAGTCTCCCAGTATATCACCACATCTCCAGAAATAGCTCAATGATGTTCGATGATTTTCCCAAACCTCCATTGATTCTGGGGAATTGTCCAGTCAAAAACCTCTATTTTCCCCATAGATGTCAATTTCCCATTGGTTGGTTGATTAATAGATGGGTTTGAAGAAACCCCTAAAAAACAACAGGTAAATGATGATAGATGGTATACCAGCTCGCGGCCCCTCTATTTTTACCAAAAGGACATTGTTTTGTCCCATGATTTTCCCATGATTTTCCCCAGATTTCCACCGAGGGGCCGGTGGGTGGAAGAGTTCTTTCCACACCTTGCCACGCTCACATGGCGTCTCTGCCTGGCGCGGCCCCAGAACTGGATTGATGAAGAACATGAACTCGATGATTTTAACATTGACTGGATATAAAATGTAATATACATATTATATACCATGGATTATTATATATTCATATGAACCATGGTATGTAGTTTATTATATATTCATATGAACCATGGTATACACCAATGCCCAGACAGCCGTGGAGCTCGAAATGATCTTTTTGACCGAGATTACTTCACATTAGTGCCCACGGTGACGACAGGCTGGCAGGAGGATGCGGAGGAAGGAAGGAGTTCCACCACGAAAAGATCTAGAAACCCTCACCTGGCAGGTGGGGAACAACTTGTAAAGTATGATAGATATGTATAGATATGGAATATAATCTTGCGGAATATTCCAGGTATAATTCAAAATCTAAAGAGCAAATGTTGAACATGATTCTTTGTCTGGGAATTATGATCTCCCATTGTTGGAAACTCTAACCTTACATCCGCCAATATCTAACATTGTTGCATGTGGGACACCCCAAATTGTATGCTCCAAAAAATCGGGGGCACCCCAATTTTGCCTGGCCCAAAAAAATAGGGCACCCCAAAATTACCACGGGCCAAGTCATCATGTTTCGTGAAGACAGTGCTTGGATGTGCATCCCAGTTAGTATGTGTGTGTTTTTGGCAAGTGATTTCAAAGCTATAAGCCATACCTGGTTGGTGGTTTTAACCATCTTGAAAAATATTAGTCAATGGGAAGCATTATCCCATATATTATGGAAAATCAAATGTTTGAAACCACCAACCAGATACGTAATAACAAAAAACCGGGTTATCCAGTGGTTCTGAAAGTCACTTCCTACCTGGGATGCACCCCCTGAAAAACGCTCGGCCCTTCCAACCTGGGACCGATGCGGCACGAAGGGCCGAAGAGTCTCCTTCAGGTCCTCCTTCTTCTCCTGCGCGAAGCATACGGTATGGCTATGGGTCAAGTTTTTTAAAGACCTCAGAAAACCACTGAGTCATGCTGAGTCTATCTTTAGTATGAACATGTATTAAGCATCCAATTATTGGGGTATCCAATTTTGACCCTGGGACCCATATTTTACACTTTGGTAAACTGCTCCAAAAAGCGAAAACCCATGGGGAAACCCTCGGAAAATGATCATCCAGCACCGTGGATATACATGGATGATGGTAAGTGATGGTAAGTAATCCAGCACCAGCCGGATTGGGATTAAGGCTCATCATTTTTATCCATCAAGTCTAACTCGCCGGCGCCTCCAGTTTCTTCACACCTTGAGCTTTGTAGCTCTTGAATTTGGTCTGCACCAATCTCACTTTCGAGCGCCCAGAGCGCCACAATTTCTCACCTGGCTAGGGAAGATCATAGGCAGAGCTGTCAGTGTTGTGGCTGGATGGCTTTGGACAATGGGAAAACCATGGAAAACCTCAATGGTTTCATGTACACCTTTGTATCAAGTCAAGTGTACCGAATTACCACAGGATACCACAGGCCTTCCAATGGTACCTGTCTCTGTCCCGGTGCAGCATGTGGATTGTTCATCCCTGCATAACATCCCTTATTCTTTACCACTCAAGTTTCAGAAACTACCCTCTGGTAAACTAACATAGCTATGGAAAATCACCATTTTTAATGGTAAATCGGTAAATCAACTATAAATGGTTGTTTTCAATAGCTATGTTAAATTACCAGAGGGTACTGTCTAAGAGGTTCCCTTCCTATAAGTGATCTCTTCATGGAAAAAATCCAAACAGAGCCTGTTGCCCAGTAGACATCGTTGGCCAAATTCTCGACCACCATGCAAGCATGTTCTGCAATGCCCTCTGAAAATTTCTGAAAAGGATGGAAAAAGGCCATGTTTAACAGGTAAACCATCTGCAAATGGGTAAATTGTCCACGGCTATGTGAACCAGAGGGTACTCAGAAACCTGAACCTGCTATAACCTGCTTACATACAAAGGTCTGAGTTGTTTGAACGTGGAGGAAATGGCAAACCGGGATACCTGGGTGGCTAATCACCTAGCTACCTACTGGTAGTTCATGGTTAATTGATGTTAATTGCATATACATTCTAATCACTAACTCTTAAGATTATCCCAGAGTTTCACTACGCAAATCAATGCACCAATGGGTCTTTCCCGGTTTCGCACCTACGGAGAGCTTGCGACCCCATGGAACTGGCGTGTCTGGCGTGTCAATGGTCCTCAGCGGCAGTGACTGGAAGTCGACTGATCGCTTTTGGCCAGTAAATGACCCCAAACGATAGCTAAGTTGGTTGAACTAACTAGGATTAACTAGGTATAATTAGGTTAACGATGGGTTATGATAGATATATCCAACTAGTTCATCGAATAAACCAACAAACATAAGGGCACCACCTTGTACTCAGTTGTTTCAGACTACCAACACATTGGGATTCCCAGGGTATGATGCTCAAGGTCTACACCCCCTAGTTGATAAGTCACCAACTGTGAACAGAACACAACTACAGTATATCAGATGTATCATAGATCAAATCAAAATATTTGTTTATGTTTAAAACCTCATTTTGGGATAAAGAATGATAAACCGAACCCATTTGGCAAATGGTTAAATAAAGCATTAAATATCATAAATATTATATAACATTATAACTATAAAACTCTTCTTTATACCCCATGTGTCAATTAGCTACAAACTGATGGATCAAGACCAAACTAAAAATAACCGTAATTCTATGGAAACCCCAAACTATCAGACCCCCATGTTATCATGTTTGGATAAACCCACGTGTGCCATGATCAAAAGATGGGGTCAGTTTCAAAGGGGGAAATGACGATAAACCATTAGATAACCCATAAGAAATCATGATAAACCAATAGATAACCCATAGATAATCTATTGAGAATGATCCACTGATATATAATAACCGAAGGAAGTTTAGAAGTCAAACTTCCGACAATATAGACAGATGAAAAGCAGAGATGGGAAGAGGCAGGGAGAAGAGAAGAGCAGAAGAGAGAAGATGATAGAAGAGAAAGAGTCAGAAGAAAGAAGATGCAGATGCGCGAAAAGGTAGGAAAGTCGCGAAACACGGTGTTTTTCCAATGATTTGTGGCTCCGGGGGGTCGAAAATTAGGTAGGCTCGCTAAAGCGGCGGGTGCGGAGCCATCTGGCCAGATGAGAGATGGAAAAGTGCACGCCGTTGTGGCGCGAAGCACATTTCCAAGTCAAAATGTACAAAA